CAAATGCCAGAATTTGTCCAGTTCAAGGCTATTTAGTGACAGAGAAATGCTTTCATTCCATCCATAGGAGTAACAGATGGCACACCCTGTACCCAAATGTATAAATTCACAGTGGGTTTTTATTCTCACACCACGATAGTATAGTGGCTTGACTCTATCCTAAATTATAAAGCATGACTTGCTAGTTACTAGTATTCCTGTTCAAGTGATTTTATAAAAAGATTTTATTGAAAGAATTAATTTTTAAATACACAGAATCATAGAACTTTGATGATAAAAATAACTTTTTGCCATCTAGTATAATTCCTAATTGAAGGAATGAGGAAACTGAGGACCAGAGGTGAAACTGACTAATACGACATCATCAGTGAGCAACTCTGCAGGGAGTCAAGTGAAAATGCAAACCTCCTTTCCTCTCTGTCACAATGTTCAACACTCATCATCACTGTATAGATATCGTTTTTTTTTAAATGACTTTATCCACATTTGTCATTCACCACAAACTAAAATATTTTAATGATCATTACATAATTTCACAATATAATCCCTTAACTATTTTTTCTTTTTATAAATCCTTCTTTCCTTCTTCCTTCCTTTCTTTCTTATTTTTAAAGAAATAAGCACTCTGGCCCACAAACCATGATTTTCTCCTACAAGTATACAGCTCTCCTGCCCCTAAGATTTAAACTATAAGTGCTGATGGCATTGATGAATGTGTAAGGGTGGAAAATGAGGCTAAGTTTTCTGTGATGAGGTACGAAAGACAGACTAAAAATATGAGAACTCAAGTCAAGAAAGGAAAAAAGAAAGGATATGGCTGAAGTCTAAGAATTATAAAGGTGATGAACCAAAATGTTCATCAATTCCTGGAAAAAATAAAGGAGACTACCCTGAAGGTTGGGAAAAGTAGGTTCTAGGGTAAAAAGGAAGGACTATGTCATATTTATGGAATTCATTTTGTCACCTCATGACAGAGGCTGAAAAGACAGATGACTTCAGAAAAGGCAGATTAATTCTTCACTCACATAATGGACTTTACAGGAAGCCAAGTGTGCCCTAGGGTAGCATCCCTAACCTTTGAGGTTGACCACAAACCAGAGAACCAAGCTCTTACAAGAAACCTCAAGGCCATCTTCACAGAGAATATACCAGTCTGCAAGACAATGGGTCAGACCCATGTAACGAGTCTTAAATTCCTATTGGAAAGCAAGAACTCCCTCAATAGAATACATATTAGAGAGGTTAGTAATCCATCTACAATATGCTAAACAGTTTCTAGACAAACAGAGAGAAAAGGTGCAGAAAGATATCCCAGCTCAAAAATCTCATCATCCCAAAACAAAAATGAAGAGACTCATTTATGATCCATGGGCTCCTCAAGGAACAGCAAGTCTCTGTTTCCCATCACCTAGCTCAGTGCCTAGCATCTAGTACGGTTTACTTCTTACAGAGTTTAACAAGCTCTGCTCCAAAATTATAAATATTTCCTAGAGAATATTAAGCTAATTATAATTAGTCGTTTACACCACTGTGGCATTGACAAATGTGGGGTTAACAACAAATGTGGTATTAACAAATCTCAGAAATTATCAAAGCATCTATGTCGGGATGGTTAAGAAGAGAGAATAGACCAGCTACACCCCTTGGCTCCTGAAAAATTAACCACCAAGATCATTATATCCAGAGAAATCAGGACACAGTTAAAGGCCAAACTCCAAAACATGTGAAAATTTAGTTTACATTAATTAAATGCTATTCATATTATGCCAAGGAAAACATTTATTCTAGAGTGCTCTAGTCTAATTGCTGTTAAACTAAAATGAGTTTTCAGTGAGTATACAGCCTTCTACTCCCATAGACATACACAAAATTCATCCTTTATATGGTCCTAAGCACAATATACAGTCTCAGTATTTACCAAATAAATAAATAAATGCATATTACATCTGTTACTAACTTATCTTTGAGGAGTATTATAGTACTCATTTCAACAGTATAAATTCAAATCACCAATTATTTAGTACCAATGATCTCATCTAACATTTCTTTTCCTTCCTTCATTCTCAGAGACACTGGCACTGTAATTACAACTTGGCTTCAGAAATCATGACCACTGGAATCCTTCTTCAGCAAAACCTAGAACCAACTCCATGACCCCAAGAAAATCACTGATAGCCACCGTCTATATAAAGAAGCAAAGTCCAGGGCCAGTTGTCCAAAACTGTTGTGTGCCCTTACATCTGACCTCTGTGTGTAAATCCCACCATACTATGGGACAAGGGGGTGGGGGTGGGGAGAGAGCAGGGAGTGGTGGATGCAATTGGGGGATTGGGAGGTGATACAGTTTTATCAGAGCAGGCAGATGTTCCTATGGCCAGCAAATAGTTAATAATTGTGACTTCTGTGACATAACATTCTTACAAGATAAAGAACCCAGTGGCCATTGTTTCTTCTAAGAACAATGGTTTCCAGTTAACACATGGCACAGTCTGTGAGTTGATGCAGTGCACTGACCTGTATATAATACACACTCATGGAATTAAAGGATTATTAGGATACCGGATGTCCAAACACTGCCAAAATGTGAACCCATGGAAATAATAAAAGTGCGAGCAACAGCAGTATGAGATGTGGAAAGGATGACAGCAACTTTGCTCCACACAATCTCTTGTGCTAATAACTAGGCCACAAAAGCCTGGCAACATGAGGCAGCCTCTACTGTAAATCCTATTTCTTTTGTTTGAAAAGGACCTGGGAGTACTACATCCTAAAATACCACAGCCATTCCTCCCTTCTCTAAATATATCAAGATACCAAAAGGTCAAAGTTTCAACTTAAGGAAAGATCAAAGCAATAAACAAATATTTCCTTTTAAATATAAAATAAATAATTATGCATATATACTATACTTTATTACAACATAGGCATTAAGAAGAGAAAAAAAGAGAGAAATAAATTGACTACTAATAAGCAAACTCATAAATCCTAAGACCTCAGACTAATGGAGCTAAGCACAAAGCCATAAAAGCACCAGTCCGTAGATAGACAGCTCTGCCTACGTTACAAGTACCTCTAAGTGACACTGCAATGCTTACCAGTTCCAAGGAAACAAAGGAAAGGGACTGAATGACAGTCTCCCTGCTGACTTCCACTCAGGCCCTTACACAGCTACTATCACCGACAGCTGACTGTTGATAAAAAGCCAGCAAAGGGAAAAAACATGAAGACTTTGGGCACCTGAGGGCTTGGTAGAGGCAACAGACCACAGCATTTGCCCAGAAGGCTGGCTCCAAAACCATCAGGCACAAGTACACACAAGCCTTATACGTATTCTGTATAAATATTCTGCTGGTGGCAAAAAGATGGCTGTGAGATCTCTAACAGAGCTACACAATCAAACACAAGTATCATGGGCATATTCTTCAATGATATTTCCAAACAGTGCGTAAGTTTAAATGTATACTCCAAATTTTAAAAAAAAGAAAATTAATGTATACTTATGTGTAGCCAGAGAATGTGAGGATTCCTAAAGGGATCTTAGAGATTTTCCAGTTCAACACTTTTTTTAAATAGTGCAAAGCTATTAGGTTATTCAATTAAAGTTAAAAACAAGTTAGTGGCAGAGGCTGGACCCAGCTCTCCCCACAGTTTGTTCAACACTTTTTCCACGCTAGGAAAGTGACCTTGAAAACTGGTTGGGTGACAAAGGCACAATATTATTGGTCACCATGATAGCAAGCAACAAATATATAGTATGCAGTAGTAATTTCAGTAAGAACAAAGCGTGGCTGAAATTCTGAGGAGGGCAAAAGCCTGAAGTGTATGCAGATTTTTTTAATTTTCATTAAATTATGGCAGCCCTTGCTTTAATCTGAGCTGTAGCCAGCGATCTGTTGCTTCACTCCCCGTGAAATCTACACAGTGTGGAGCCTAACTTAAAATGTAAGGCCAAACAGATCTGGAAAAGTACAGCTTTATCCTTGTATTTAATTTATACTACGGTGTACTGTAATTAAGCCTGAAATAAATGCTATATTCTGAGTAAAGACAAAAAGCTCTTGTTCATGACATTCCATTCCCAATGTAGAATATAACAAAAGGCTTCTTCATTTAGAGCCAATTGTCATTATACTCTGTAGCTTGTATGGAGCTATTGGACTAATATTTGTACTGGGATTAGTGTTGGGATAACCAATCAGTTAACTCCTCCACTGTGGTTTTCTATTATCCTCAAATAAATGACCAAAAGGATAAAAAGAAAATTGGCAAGCAGAACGACAACTATATTTATGAGATTAAACTCTCAAACCCTTCACAGTTTGCTGGGCAACTAATAACCGTTTGCCAAACTGTTCATTTAATAATGAGTCAGTTAAGCCGAAAGCAAATGTTTCTTCAACCAACCAATGCTACTACAATCATATCCACACTGATAGGTTCTAATTATTTATGTAATGTACTTCATTTTGAATAAGTACAAGTTGCCATGTAAGAAAAACAAACTCATCTCATTAGCCGAATGCAAGCTACACTGCCTTTTTTTTAGATATCTCAAATTTGTATGTGATTCTGTAATTTATGTAAGTGAAGATCACCAACAAATAGTTTGGGGAGTAATTCTTATTTGTGTCACACATCCTAGACCAAGGGCCAGAAGCTCACCATCCAGCTCTGCCTTCAGTAATCACATGACCTTGGGTCATCTTATGGAGGGTGCTCTCTTGATATACAAAATGGAGTGTCACACTGAGACTATTCCCACCTGGGGATTATGTGGACTGAGCAAAACACTATTTATCAAAGCAAAGTAAGGTGTATGTACATTATACAATACAATAAGAAGGGAAGCAAGAAGCCATGTGGGCCACTCTCCAAGAAATACATGTGTCAAAATAGGAGATAACACCAACCCACCAACATTTTGCTCCTCTCCTACCCATCTCCACATGCCCATAGGTTAAGAAAGGCAATGAGAAGGTATCCCCTTCCCCTTTACTTACTAATAGTTCATCCATACTGGTCTGGCATTTTTCCAGGTTGATCCGCTTTATCGCTACACGTTCTTGTCTGGGTTTACATAGTGCAGCCTGAACCACAGCAGTAGCTCCACTGCCTGAAACGAAATAAAAACATCAGCTGTCAAATGGCACACTGTCTGTTACCATTTGCGACCCCTTTCCTAAATAAATATCTATATTTTTAAATAGTCTTCTACTCAAGGTATTCGAAACATTACCATTTTACATCTTTTTAAAGAATTTAATTCCAAAAACAGTTATCTGGAGGAGAAAAAGGGAAAACTAGATTTTTCTAAACAACGTCTTCTGAGGACACAGGGACAAGGGCAAGAGTGTCTATGCACAATCCTACAAGGAAGCCATTACCATCCTCAGATCCTGATACTTCCTAACTTCAGTGCCTTTAAAATATCTCAGGCTCTTTTTCCACTTCAGCCCAAATCAAACCACTCTGGTCTGAGATACTTCAGAGCTTCCGCAGATGCTGACTTAAGTGTTCTGAGCACTCTCTGAGCTTATGTATTCAGCACTTGCTCTACAATTAGAAAAATAAGAATCAACCCTAGCATTCTCACATTGAAAACATAACTTTCAAAGATGTCAAGCAAAATGATACAATTGTGTAACTACAAAGGCTCTTGGCATTCATATGAATTTCCTATTTCTAAGGTTTCATTATTATTAGCTAATGCATTCAAGCTCCTAAGAGACAGAGTCACGTCATTATCCATATTTTATAAAAGCAAAATGTAGATGTGTAGTGATTTGTGGCAGAGCATAAAGAGCTCCTAATCAGCTTTCTATTCCATGGGGGCAAAAAGACCCCCAGGTTAAGGCATCTGTATTCTGCAAATAATATCAAAAATGTCATTCTAATCACAAACTTTTACCAGTGCAAGACAGCCAATGAGAGAAGCAGCCTGTGCTCAGGACTATGCAAAAGGGGGCCAGCTATGACAATCTAACGTTCTCCCCAAAGTTGTTCTTCAGGTAATACTTCTCACATAAGTTGTCAAATATCATAAAGGAGAAGGTGGGTACTTTTGGCAATGAATTAGAGTGATGAGTATTGGCTTTCCTAATATTTGATAGAAAGGCATGACATTATGAGGGCAAATCAACTCTTTCCCACCCCAAAGAAGTTCCCAAATGGGTGTCTACAGTGCTGGAGCTCTGTCCTTTCTTCTGCCCTGTGGCCTTATCGCCACCTCTAGCCCCCGACCCAGTGACCCCAGCAGATCACCCTCATGCTCCAAACCTAGGTCTCCAACTTTAAGACTCCCATTGCAGGGAAACCCAACTTGTGTTCACCAGGGAAGAAAACCCACACATATGGACCACCCACAGTACGGCAGGCATTTTACTCATGTAAGTCTCCTTACAAGCCTGTACACTTTTATTATGAGCTTCACTTTATGTGTGAGAAAACTAGAACTCAGAAAATTTGCCCAAGGTCACACAACTAATAAGTACCTGAGCTGGGATTTGATTCAGGTCTCCCAAACTCCAAGAACTGGGCTTTTGTTTCCTACTTCGCATAAACCAGAGCACACCCTTCCCCTCCTCACTTGCATTGGCCTTGCTAGGAAAATATTTTCTCCAGTCCTATGTGGTTCATCAAAAGAGAAACAACCTGGAGAGAAGGTTCAAGTGAGCCTCATTCCCTAAAGTCCAGTTTGTTCAGGAAGAGCAGGCTATTGACAGAATTTGTTTACAAGGGTCTTCCTCCCCCTTATCTCACTGCTCCTCAGTCCTACCAGGTTGGCCTCACTGGCCCTGCAGATCACAGCATGTTGGGTTCAATCCAGAATACTCCAGATACCAGAGCCAAACTCTACATAGAACCCTGCTGATAGTAAAGTGTATTTTCCAGTCTCCAGAACAAGAGATGGCCACTGACGGGAACCACAGAGTAAGTGCTAAGTAGCTGGTTAGCACTGGGCCTGGTACCCAGCACAGAAATCAACAAACATCTTTAGCTGCTGGTGGGAAGCCATCCTCAGCTCTACCTACTGTAAATCTCCCCTTAGGTCCACTCCTTCATCCTTAATCCACATTTCAGAACATTCTCAAATCAGGGGAACTGAAAAACAGGAAAGAAGAAAACCAATTTCCAGAAAGGATGAAACAAGTATATGTAATATGGGGCTACCTCTCATAGTCAGTGAATCCTTGACTATAAAAGTCTCCTGACTTCCACAGACACATAAGAGGATATGGCCACGAATACAATTCTAAAAGTGGAGAGAGAGTGGTAGAGCAAGTCCTTTATCAGAGCTTTACAGCTAGAGACTTGTTACTACTTTACAACTACAGCTGACTAAAGAAAAACTGGCTACTTCTCATCTCTAGATGCAGTAAATATGAAGCTTTGTGATCTGAGATCAGTGTCACTGCCTGAATGAATTTAATCACCCATTGAACAATTTGGGGAGATTCCACTCTGAATCCAAAGATTCTGTTCAACTACAAGAGAGATCAAGAACCAAGTTAAAGGTAGAGGGCATTTTAAAGATCATTAAGGCTAGCCTCTCACTTTATGGATGAAGAAACAGGATCTTGTAAAGGATATGGGTTTTTTCCTGTAGAAATTGAAAAACACAGGATTTCAAGGCATCCTTACTCTTTACCATTCTCTGCACCAGGTTAGTGTTTTTTCAAATTGCCAGTCAGGATCCATTGGTCATAAAATCACTTTACTGGGAGGATACCAGCATTTTTTGAAGGGAAGCATCAGAATGCATCTTCTATTTTAAGGGTAAGAATTACTTTACAAAACTTTTGCTTCAGTTATACTCAAGCTGAAGTAAAACATGTTTTACTGTGAGTCATGATCAAAACTTTGAAACCTGCTCTACTAGATTAAGTTTCCCAGGATTAGAGTAAATCCATGCTTTGAAAGGAAAGGAAGTGAACTAACTGCATAATTTTAGAGGGCATTTAGAAAAAATATGAAGACATTCTTGCTTCAGGATTTTTATGCACTTTGCTGATTAGCTTGAGAGGAAGTTAAAAATGTGGAGCTTGTAAATCCAGGAGTTAGACAAGTGTTAGCAGCATGAAATCAAATAGTAGTAATTAATACATTAAAAAGCACCTTGTATTTATTTTGAACAATTCAGTATATGATATTTATATATAAATCATTAACATCTGGTAGTATATTTTCTATGAAGTATCACGCACTGCTTTGGGAGTAAAAAGCTCCTAACATTTTAGGAATTCCTCATTTTATTCTCGACTCCAATTTCAAGTGACATAAATCATTCTCTAGGATTATGGCCTATATGCACAAGCTAAGAGAAGATGGCTTTAAATCCTTTCAGTTCACTGTTTTAAGTCACTGTATCTTAATTCACTTTTGCTAATTCCAGACTAAGAAGAGCTACTTAGAAGTTTTAGATAGTAATTATGTTAATGGCAATCAGCAGCAAGGGATTCCTCAAGTTCATCAAACTGCAGACTTCTCCTTGGGCCGACACCTCTTCTCATTTTCCTCTTTGTACCGTTGCTGATATCAAGGTAAATCACCAGGAAATTCCATAGCTGCATTTCACACTTTTAGTTATCCAAAGAAATATTTCATGGAAATACAATTTAGAATCATAACTCTGGATTTCACTAAGTCTATAAAAAAATTAATGTGAAGAACTTCAGTGTTTCTTTTGTAAAAATCACTACCATTGTCAATTATAGTCTGAATAGTATGTTCAAAGTTCCTACTTCTGTGACACACACAATAAATCCCTCTTTCGGGCCGGCCCGTGGCTCACTCGGGAGAGTGCGGTGCTGATAACACCAAGGCCCCGGGTTCGGATCCCACATAGGGATGGCCAGTTCACTCACACCGCCTCTGCTTGGTTCATTGGAACACTTATTCTATTTTATAGTATGAAGTGTTTCCCGACTGTAGAATCACAATAAAGCCAAATGAGGTTTAAATTAAATTTGCTGTAGGGCCGGCCCAGTGGCTCACTCGGGAGAGTGCGGTGCTGATGGCACCAAGGCCCCGGGTTCGGATCCCACATAGGGATGGCCAGTTCACTCACTGGCTGAGCGTGGTGCTGACAACACCAAGTCAAGGGTTAAGATCCCCTTACCGGTCATCTTTTAAAAAAATAAAAATAAATCCCTCTTTGCATTTAGTGCTTGGGTAAAAATGTCTCCCTTCCAAATAACTTAATGGATAGTGAGAAATATATAACATCGTATTTTCCTTTTTTGTCCTGACAGTCAGAAAGCTCAGACCTAAATTTCATGTTTAACAGCAGCAACTATTCTTAGCCCTAGGTTTCCTGCTATTTCTTCTCCTTCCCCTCTCCAGTATACGACCCCTATTCCTTTGTGCTTAATTTAGTGGTACTTCCATTACAGGAAGCAATGTTTCTAGAGCCTACCAAAGTAAAACCTTCTTGAAACATCACTATCTGACCCCCAAAAGTGAAAGAGTGTGCTTAACAGCCACAAGAAAACTTTAGGCACAAAAAAACAGCAAAAAGAGATGTTTGCTTATGTTAATTGATCAACAAACAGTAATCCCCTACCATGTGGGAGATAGCTTGCCAGATAATACAGGCCCAAAGGTGATCACTCACTCCCATTTCAAGTGAAATAAATCCTTCTATAGGATCATTTCCAATGTAGATATTAACAGGGATGACTGGAATATGCTGTTGTGGACTGAATGTTTGTATCCCCATAAAATTCACACATTAAAGTCCCAACCCTCGGTGTGGCTATATTTGTAGTTACCACCTTTATGAGGGTGATTAAGGTTAAATGAGGACACCAGGGTGGAGCCCTAGTCCAACAAGATTAGTATCCTTATAAGAAGAGTCAACAGAGAGCTTACTTACTTTTTTTTTTTTTTTGAGAACACAGCAAGAAAGCACCTGTTTGCAAGCCAGGAAGAGTGCCCTCACCAGAAATTGAATTGGCCAGTTCCTTGGTCTGGACTTCCCTGAATCCAGAATTGTGAGAAATAAATTTCTATCATCTAAGCCACCCAACGTATGGTATTTTGTAATGGCAGCCCAAGCAAACTAGTGCAAAAGGCTTTCAATGCCTGTTCGAAGTCACTTTCCCACTAATACCTA